GAGGCGGTTGGCAGGGCATCACGGGTTCACCCGAGTTCAGCCTGCTGTGGGGTGGCGACTTATGCACCAAGGAAATTTGCCACCCCACAGCGCGCTCAAGAGGCCAAGAAAGTGTGTGCTGAAGGGAGTGGCAGATTTCAGCGAAACCAAGGTAAGGTGAAGCCAGTGGGGAAGATCTGGACGCTTGGACGGGGTTCCCAGAGGTCTGAGAGCCCGAAGCGCATGTGCTGGCACGGAAGGCAATCAGGAGGAGTAGGGTACTCCGTCGGCCGGCTGAGTGCATCAGCTTTGCAGTTCTTGGCACCTGGAACATGAGACACATCGATAGAAATGCGATGCATGGCTGCAAGGAGGGCGATGTGTTCAAGAACGAGGCCGAGGGGGTGCTTTGTGGAAAACATCTTGTTCAGACCCGCCTCCGCCCCGGAGATATCGCAGAGGGACGGAAGGCGTAAAGGAACCCTGCTGCAAGGAGCCAGCTTAGAGAGAGCAAGAATCAGCCCTGCCTGAGCCAGGGCTTCACAACTGGCGATCTCCTTAGCCAAGTCATTGCCGGAGGGAATGCCTGCCGCCTCAAAGTCTGCAACCGAAAAGGTTTCCGTGAACCAAACCTGACCTAGAACCGGACAGAAAACGAAACCCCCCAAACTGCAAGATGGGCCGGACGCCGATGCATCGGCGAAGGCTTCAACGTCTGCGACCTGTAATAGGCGCATACTGGCAAGTGGTGCAACGTGTTGCAACCAACGCTCGAAGGCATGCAACGAACGAATGGAGGCATTCGAGAGCTTCCGCCTCGAACTGCTGAGGCCTTCAACGCGGAGCCACAATCTTTTATGCGTCACGGCGACCTTGGACAGGTCTGCCAGGGTTGCGAAAGGCACACGCCGCGCCGAGAGAAGCTTGGCGCCTGCGCGGATAGCCGTGTGAGGCGGGGAGACTTTAAACCTGAGTGAAGCATCCAAAAAATTGCGAATGCCGTGCCACGACTCCGGAGCAATGCTGAAGTTAGTAGCTGCTGGAGACCACAAGTCTTTGTAGAAAGGGTGCAGCATGGCACGCATAGTGGGGAAGAGTGCGCAAGCCCACATGGCTAGGCCCAGAAAAGACTCAAGTTCCTTGGTAGAAATACGGCCACCACCACGAAGAAGGGAACGCACCTGATCAAGGAGGCGCAGGCGTTTTTCATCCATGAGACTAACCGTACCCGAAGAGAAGCATAACCGCCAGCCAATCCAATCGACCCGACAAGAAATTTGCAATTTTTTCCAACTGACTGGAATGCCCAACACCTGAAGGAAAAGGCAGATGACAGCACCCGAAAGCGGCATGAGGCTGGCCGCTTGGCTGAAAATGAAGTCGTCCACGAAGAGGAGGCCCACATGGGCGAGGAACAGCAGGGTGTGCAGCAGGCGCAGTGTGCACCCTCCCACACGGCCCCACCAGTGCTGTGAGAAAACTGCCCCGAAAGGGCAGCAGCGGAAGAAATAGAGCTCATCGCGCCAAGTGAATCCGAGTAAGCCCTGTTCGGAGTCGCGGATGCGGCAGCGCTTGTGCGCTTGCTTGACGTCTACGCAAATGGCCATCTGGCGGTCTGAAGTCTCGCGGAGAGGGAAAGAATGCGAGACATCCTGTATGCTCGGGAAACACTGACGCTCCGGCACTGAACACTGAGAGTTTGTCCCAGCTACGCCACGCTGTTGTCCAAAACGAGCCGTTCGGCCCTCCCCGGCGCCCTGACTACACCAAGCTTGCCAAGTGCAAGGCCCACGGGCCATCTACTTTTCGCTTCCTCAAGTGTACCCTCAAATTTAAAGCAGTAGCCAGCGTCCAACTCCTCCTGGAGCAGGCCCGATGTGACATCCGGAGCCACATCAGCCGACTTCCAGTTCTCAAGATTGAGCGTAAGCGGAATCAGCTCCCCGGATTGGCCTTTGGGAGGCCAGAAGCAATTTGAAGGAGGGATATCGTTCATGTATCCCGTCGGTACACCCATCCTCAAGTGCGGGAACAAATGAATGTCCGGATCACCGCAGTGCTGTGCCAGGGCTTCAAATGCATGCAGGCACATGGGCTGATATGGATGCACATACCAGGCGTTGTCAGGGGTCTGCAGACCTATAAGGAAGGAAAAACCAGATCCCTAGCTGCGGACACTTCGGTGGAGCTGAAGAGCGGCTCCGGCGATGGGCATGAGCTTCTGGCAAGCAAGCGCTTATCGGCACGCAGGGAGATGCAGAATTGAAGCATTGCCTTCCGTAAACCATGAATGAAGTTTACCTGCAAATGCCGACCTCCTCCAATCAGCCATGGAGCATTTTCCCGCCCCATCGTGGAGGGCGTGCGGGCCAGTAAAGAGGCTTTTGCGTGGAACGGCAGCCACGGCTGACTGTAAGGATAGCTCGCGGCCTTCCCTATGCAGCAGAGCGGCAGAGATACTGGCAAACGAAGATGCGAATGCCTGACCGTTTTGTGGGAGCGCGGTTGCGCACAAGTCGGCTGCCAGGATAGACAGAGGGCGGTAGGAAGCGGCCCATAGCTGGGGTTGGGTCGGAGTGGCCGAACCTGCATGCAGCAAAGAAGGCACCAAAATGAAAGCACAGCTGCCCTGATGCAACCAGTCTTGTGGGCGCGAGGAGACCAGAAGGCGGCATCGGGGGGCATTTCGAGATGCCCGTGACCCCCGGCAGTGTGCACAATGCTGAGAAGCCAGGTGCAGCGGAAAACCTTTGCCGCCATTGTTTGCTCGTGCGTGGCAGACAGCAGCCACGAGGAAGGGCCTGGCTGATCAGGTGAGCTTCCTGACGCAGTCAGGGGCGATGCCGCGAGGTAGGCAACCGCTCCCGACCCACACAAGAACAGGACCTGTTCAAGGAGATCTGGGCAAAGGATGTCAAGGGCGGGATCAAGGCAGGGGTCTAGGGTGAGGGAATCGCCGCCTGAAGCGCGCACAGCTCTGCTGAGCTGAATGCGCGCATCACCGAGCCAGGTGACCTCAAGGAACAGGCGCGCGGAGAGAGATGATCTGCAACGGTCAGCGCGCCAGGAGTCATCCGGCGGCGAGAGGGGGCGAGGGACGGGACCTGCAGCTTATGGGAGCGAAAGGTGCCCGATGCAGAGCGTTGCCCCCAGAATTTGCATCCAAGCGACAGCCTAAAGGGTGCTGCCGTGACGATGTGCTGATTTGCTGCTGGGGATTTGAGGTGACCCCAGTCTTCGGATGCTGGGGCAGTAATGCAGGCGAGCCTGGCGAAGCAGTAGTTGCATCCTCGAGCCCGGCGGGTGAGGCTGATGTATCCAGGGCGGGACTAGAACCCAGGGCAAGCCCAAGAACTCAAGATCACTACAACAAACTCCCGGCAGTGAAAAGGCCGTGAGGGCCCAACGCTCACCTGAGAACGGAAGTGTCATGTGCCTAATGCGGCCATCGAAGCTGATGGCTTTGCGATGCGTGTCAATGGCACAGCCATGCAGCCAGCCCGAGCCGGATGCGGTTGATGTCGGCTGGCCTCGTGAGAGGCAGGAGAAGTCTTCAATCCACAGATGGCCACCTGAGAAGGCGCCCATGTGATAAGTTGCGTGAGCCCGGAATGTTGGCTGAGTCGGAATGCAGCGCACTGAGGCCGTTGCGCGAAACACACAAAGTGTTCCAGTGCTCCGTTGGAAAGAGGTGCTTGAAGAGGGCATTCAGGTCCCTGCAAAGTTCAGGCAGGGCAGAGGTAACCTGAGTGAGTGAAGAACGCCTAGAAAGTTGAACCCCGAAATTAAAATAACCTGAGTCAGCAGAGGCTCCGGAGATGATGTGAGCGCGGCGAACCTGTTGGGGCCAAGGGGCTTCCCGCAGTGAGAACAAAATGCAATCGAACAAGCCTTCCAAGGCAGGCCCACAGAAATTAGAAAATTCTAATGCGCAACCCAAAGAAGCAGTGTCGCTGGTAGGCGGCACCGGCGAAATTCAAGTGCTTGAAGTGCATGAGGAAGGTGGATTATCGTTCGAAGATCGTGCTTTGTGTTTTGATGTCTATCATGATTGAACCTTCAGGGATAAATGCTTGCACTCGCACATGCCACATGCAAGTAGTTCAAAGCTCGACGCTATTTTCACACGTTGGGGTAGCAAGTACCGCACACGGCAGAAAACTTCGAACTGTCGGTCCTGTGAGACACAAGACTCTTTTTGTCCCCTCAGAAAGGAGAACTAGCCACTCTCAAGCCGTGCACGGCTCACAAACTGAACCTTAGTGAACGGCCTGCCAGTCGAAGACGAGCAAGACCGAGTAAACTGCGAAGCAGAGAGCCAAGACCCGAACCAGGTCTTATGCATAAAGCATACCTGAGTGTCCTCAAACTGAGGTCCAAAGCTTCCTGAGGTAGCACAACACTGATGCAATCTCTGCACTTTCCACGAATCAATTAGGGTGGAGAGGGTGGGTATTTCAAATAAAACTCTCGCCCGATTCAAGGGCTTCCTGCCCCTTCGAGAGGTCAAGCTGCAACGGACGAATGTGTTCTTCAACTTGTTTACAGCATGTATGAATGAGGGTTCATAAAAAAGGCAGTGTGAAGGAAAAGCCCTAAAACAACAAATCAAAATTGGACTCAGTTCTCTGAGCCATTTTGTCATGTTGTTTTTCTTCGAACGATAAAGCCATATCTTCTGCAAGTGTTCAAAGAATGTAACTTATCGTTCGAAGATCGTGCTTTGTGTTTTGATGTCTATCATGTTTGAACCTTCAGGGATAAATGCTTGCACTCGCACATGCCACATGCAAGTAGTTCAAAGCTCGACGCTATTTTCACACGTTGGGGTAGCAAGTACCGCACACGGCAGAAAACTTCGAACTGTCGGTCCTGTGAGACACAAGACTCTTTTTGTCCCCACTTCCAGGAGTCGCAGTGTTAAGCAGGCAGATTCGAAACTCTCTTCACAATCGATAACACCGCTTTGGTCGCCTCGACAGACTCGTCTTTGAATCCTAGTCTCTTGACTCTATCAAGTTTCATCCTCGATGGTTCATCTGCCAGATTAGCAGGTGATGCCACTCTCGCATACCACGGCAAGATGCCGTGGACATACTCCAGGAAATGACTTCATCGATAAGAATCCCCGCGACCCCTTTCTTCGAAGAGCCGGCGATGTATGCATGTCTCGCAGCATCATTATCGATATAACAAATCACTCCAGTCCCAGCAACAGCACCTGGCTGTTCGTATGATTCTGCGAAAGCAGCCGTCTTTTCGACCAAGAGCTTGAGACCGATCAAGACCCCGAACATCTCTAGCTCATATATGATGGTATGCTCATCCTGCAACGACATAGACTTGGCTTGCTGCTCTGAGATCGGCACGCTGAAGAAAGAGAGTGCCGAACCTGACCCGGTGAGAAGGACGCCCCCCAGGCCTCCAGTTCCTGACTCCGTTTCAAACGCCGCATCGGTAAGGATCATAAAAGTCCTGCATGAAACTTGTCCCACTAGCCTCGGTTGGGCCATGTCAAGGAACTTACCAAACTCTTCAAGTCGTTCCTTGGCCATCGACGAAAGCTTCGACCTGCCAGTGTAGGCATGCTTTGTCACCTCCGTCAGGCACCTTCTTCCCGGCCTACCGAAAAACCGGGCTTGAGCAAACTGCAGCCTACCCCGCAGTTGTAGAGCTTCCTTCTGAGTCATGGTTCCCTTGTCCAGAAAACCTTTGATCGCAGCAGTGAGTTCCTTGCGCCGTTTCTCAGTGTTCCTGACCTTCAGAACTCCGGACCCCGTCTGGTCAAGCTCGAAAAGAACGCCGAGGGCCTCGAAGCTAGTGTTCCACTCCGTTGTCTTATCAGCTGACAGCTTCCAACCTAACAGCTTCATAACTTCATCGAAAGCGTGTGAACACGAACTCCTATCTCCTCCAAGAGCGAGCAGAACAAAGTCGTCGAAATAATTCGTGGTTGGGATTTTGGCTCCTTTGACCAAGATAGTCCAAAGAGCCCTCGCCACTCTGAGGAAGAAATACACGGCCTTGGTAGAGCCGAAAGGCACAGCTAGTTGTTGGAACAACTTGGGCTTCTCCTCCGCTGGGTCGTAGACCGCGAGGTAAGAAAAATCTAAGCTTGTATCAGATACCGCCAGTTGTCTGTAAGCTCCCTTCAGATCCGCCGTTTTCCCGTACAATGCGTTCAAGTTCTTCTTTCGAGCAGCACTCGAAAGTGTATTTATCAACATAGCAATTTCGTCGATAGAGTGCGTGATGGGCTTTTCAGAGACTGTGACCGTATCGTTGATCAAACTCGATGAGTAGTTGTCAATAGGTCGCAGCTTATCTCCTTGTAGCAACGGAAAACGGGAGCTGACCAAACATCGTTTCGGCAATGACTCGAAATCATAAGGTCCCGAGAGGTATCCACTCTGTACCTCTTCCATCGTCTTATCCCACAACAGCTGATCGATTTCCTTATCACCCGATGAACCAGTCTTCGCCCGGATCTGCTGTTTGATTTCATCAGACATCCCCAAAAGATGTTCAGTGTCCAACCTAGCAGGCTTGAGCTTGGTATCCAGCACCCCAGTGATAGGAATGTCCCCCGTCAGGGTGGCTCCGTCGATGAGTTCCTGAACCACACCCATATCATCATACCCAATATCTCGCAGCATCTCTTCGAACAACAAGATACGTTTGGGTTGAAGGATCTTCCTTCTGTGATCCGACATGCCAGCTTTCAGCTTGTTTTCCTCTGGTTCCAATTCTTTGGCTCGTCTGGCCCACTTCTCAATGTAGTTCTTCCTCTGAGAACGAACCATTCCCGGTTTGTGAACTAGGTCGTGAACGAGATCTCTGAGATCCTTGTTGCACTTGGATAACTTATGGTAGGGGTGTCCGGTCTTACCTGCTTTGGCGATAAATTCAATGGGATCCCATGGGATGCCCACTCGCAAAACTGAGGCTCCATTCAAGTTTTGCATTTCCTGCTGAAGTTGCGGGCTCAATTGCCCCCCTGACTGAGTACGCGACAGAAGCTGGGAATCCTGGGGGAGCGCCCTAAGCTCCGGCAGCACACGGGCGCCGTGCGGAACCTTCCAGTCCTGTTTAAGGCGCTTCGACCCACCAAACGGATCCTCGACCTGCGGTGGCAGAAGGACATAAACCACCAACTTCCACTCAGACACCACTTCCGGCATCGCCCCACGTGGCTGATTCATAGCCGAAACCCGCAGCGATTTGTTAGTCAAGGCCGGGCTGCGACACGGCAGCTGTCGCTGAGTCAAACCTGCGATGAACACCTCAGCTACCGCCGTGGCAAAAGCCGGCGGATAGCCGGTCTGCGCCTCCGAGCGCTGCTGCACCTTATATCCCACAGGTGCCGCCTCCCTGCGCACAGTGAAGACTTCTGGCATATTAGACAACACGAGGCTGCGCTGTTTGCTATGTGAGTCCCAAAACCGCCAATCCACCTCCACCTGATGCGGAGGGTGCTGTGCTGACGGTAAGCGCTTCAAGCTCTCCCAAGATGGGGAGGACACCGAGCCCTCAAGAATCAGGGGCAGGTTGTTGCTTAAGCAGCCCGCCATCACTGCCAGAATGAAAGCTGTAGTGACAGGTTCCGAGGCATGTTTGGGAATACATATCATAACACCCGCAATCTTGCCTTTGTCAAGCCATGTTAGGACAGAGTCACAAGTCTCCCTCGTTGACAAGTCCATCTGAAGCACTGGGGCCATAGCCGCCTTCTGCTTGAATCGGTCCACTCCATAGGAAAAATAGCCCTGCTTAATCAAAGCTGAAGCCACACGAGCTTGGCCTGCAAAACACTGCAAAATGGCCCTGATTGGCTCCTGACTCTGAGGGGCAGAAGAATTGTCCTGCGATGCCACGAGAGGTGAGGGGAGCGCCCCCTCGCTCTCTGCGTGCTCCAAGTAAAACGACTCAGACGAAGCACTCGGCATCGTAGGAGGATCCAAAACTGTAGGTTCTACCAAAATCGGAGAATCGTCGACATCCACCATCTTAGAAGCAGGGTCCACTCCTACTCCAGAAGGTAGCGAAGCCGGGGCCGCGACATCAGCTACAGAGATACCACCTGAAACGGGTTCTTCCGAAGATGCCATCTCCACGTCCGACGCCAAAGCGACAGGGCAAGGCGGGGGATCCGCTAGTCACAGCTTCTTAGGCTTCAAAGGACACTTACCCACCGGGTGGTCACCGCCGCATTTGAAAATGCAGCAAGTATGATCGCCCTTCTGGCAGTTTGCATCCGAACAAGTTCCGAGGTTGAAGCCGTAACAGACCTTGTTGCCTTTATGATTCCATGCAGAGGCTCCCTGGAAGCGAAGTCCCTCAGTTATTTCTTTCCTCAAACGTGCACTAAGGCGGGGAACACCCGAGCGTAAAGGGCGGAGCCCGTAAACTTGCGCTAACCGAGTCGGACTCTTCGTTTTACTCAAAAAGGGCAAAGGGGTAACGTCGTTCGAGAGCAACCATGCTGGATGCCGTTTGGCATAACGAGCTGCCCCCAAGGAGGGCCAAGGGAGTGGCTCAGCAATGGTTGAATAAAAGGGTGAGGGCGGGCGGGACAAAGTTGATTCACTTCATGCCGAAGGAAATGGACTTCCCTCCCACCCTTCCCTTGAGAAGAAATGCGGATACGACAAGGTATTCGCAAGACTCAAAGGAAACAAAGTTGGAAAACTGGTGCACTCGGTTTTCAGAGAAAAACCGTTGATTGTTCAAAGGAAATAAAGATTTATCCCTACGCTCCGCTCCGGGACGAAAATCTTATTTCTTTCCTCAAACGTGCACTAAGGCGGGGAACACCCGAGCGTAAAGGGCGGAGCCCGTAAACTTGCGCTAACCGAGTCGGACTCTTCGTTTTACTCAAAAAGGGCAAAGGGGTAACGTCGTTCGAGAGCAACCATGCTGGATGCCGTTTGGCATAACGAGCTGCCCCCAAGGAGCCCCAGAGAGCAGCAGCTCAAAAGGGCCAATCGCAAAGCAGAGAGTCTCTGCGGACCCCTTGCCTTATGAGATGTTGGAAGGAGTCACGACTCGGATCGTCTGCGCAATTTGAGTGGGTTGGCACACGACCAAACCACGGCCTGCATAACGATCGATCTTCCAGTCTCAGGAAAGACTCGACGATTTTCGTACCTGTCAAAGTAGAAGATCTGGCTGACGTCAAAGCTCCGCGAGCTGCTTCGTTGTCTAAGTAAAAGACAGAGTAGCTGTCATGGATATGCCTCTCCCAAAGGGTGAGTGCTGTCCACACAGCTAGCAACTCAATCTCATATATGGGATGCGAAGAGTGATGGTGGAGTCTCTCAGTAGAGGCTTGGTTCAGCTTGACCGAGAAAAAGGCTAGGGGCACGCCTTGACTATCGTGCAGAATGCCTCCCACACAAGCAAAGTTTCCCTCCAGGCTGCCGTCAGTAAAAATCAAGAAAGTTCGCTGCAAACTCCTCGAAATTTTCAGCGGCTCAGAATGGAGAGCTACGTCCCTGAGGAACATGAGGGACTCTCGGAGTTCCGTAGGCAGAGTGCCTTTTGATGCACTTCGATTTACCCAGTCGCTCAGGACGTTCAAAGCTTGAGAAGATCTGCGTCCAAAAAGAAAGGAAGTGTACCAGTGGAGCCTGCCTCGCAAGCTTTCGGCTTCAGCGTGCGAAAGGCGGTTGGACTCAAGAATGCGGGTGATTGTCGCACGCAGCTCATCCCCACGTTCTTGAGTATGACCGATGGTCACATATCCTTCGCCGAAATGGCTCAAGTCGATGATAAGGCCGAGCGCTTTGAAAGCCTTTGCAAACACAGTGGCTTTCTTGCCAGCGCGTGCAAAGTACACGTGCAAAAGGTCGAGAAAACTGGTGGCTACTTCTTCCACTAGGTCGCAGTCGGAATCTTTGGAGAAGATCGGGAAATCGTCAAAATAGTTGGTCCATGGGATTCCCAATGCGTGGGATCCCAAGAACCAGATCGCAGCTGCACATCGGAGAAAGCTTGACACACTACCCGTCGCTCCGAAAGGCAAGGAATTCACTTTGAAAGTGCGAACGTGTCCGCTTGAAGTGTCTTTAACGCCAATCCTTAAAAGGTCACGATCGAAGGGATGTGTGGCGTACTGTTTGTACGCCGCAGTCAGATCAAGTGTCTTCCCTGAGATGCTAACGCCTTTGCTGCGAGGGTCAAGCATGGCTCGCAAGAGGAAGGCAGCGATGTATTCGACGCTCTGTAATCTGTATTTCTCAGGGATGCCTGCTAACAAGTTGTAAGCACAAGCACGGCAGTCGTCTATGACTCTGACCTTTGGACCTTGTAAAAGCCCAAACCGCTTGGCAACAAGGACCGTAGAAAGATCTGGGTTTTCGTCTTCCTCAATCCAACCTTTGTCAACTTCTTCAAGCGTTTCAGCCCAGGCACGACGAGACACCTCATCAGGAGCCTGTTTGGAGAGCTTCGTCAAGGTGGCGGTGTTTCTGGACTTGGCCATGGAGAGCTGACTTTTTAAGGTGGAGGCGGGAGGCTTAGGGTCAAAGGGAAAAAGACCCGATCTACAAACCCAGCCCGTAAGCCTAAACCCCTGCGTCATGTGCTTCACAAGGTGGCGATCTGGAAAGTCGTGCTGGGTGAGCAATTCGTCCATCAGCAGAGTTGGCTTTGCATCCAGAACCTGCGCCACATGGATGGGCCACTCCTTTTTGCACACATCCTGGGATTCGGAGAGGTCCGACCGTAGCTCGGTCCAACGCTGAACTTCATGCAAACCTTTGTCTGGCTGTTTGACATTGCTGTTCAGAAGGTTGTCTATCAGCAAGGTCATGTGCGGATCGGCTTCGACATCAAGAAGGGATTTTGGGTGACCGGCTGCCACAGCTCGACGTAAAAAGTCATCCGGTTCACGGGGAATGCCAATCCATACAACTTCAAGCACTGGAGAATGCTCAGTCGGAGGCAATAAGCCGCAGACATCAGAGAAATCCTTGGTTGGTGTGTGCGCATCGTGCTTGCAATGCTTAGTGGACCATGTCCAGGGGCTCGACAAGACATCATCGACCTTGCACAAGTCAACAGAAGGTAAAACGCAAACCCGAACCAACCCCGGATCAACAAGTTTGCGTCTTACTGCGCGGGCTCCTTTAGGGTAGCATCTCAGGAGCTGGAGCACAGGTTGCTCGGCACGAAGAGGCACTGCCCAAGCATCATATTTGCAGAATTCGCTGACCAATGGCCGGGCTTTACGAGATTGCTTGCCCATAGCAGGCCGTAGGTCACGACCCGGAGGGCCAAACAAAGATGATGTAGTTGGCGTGAAGCCTGAGTGCTGGCACAGTAACTCTACAGCACGATCCCAAAGCAAATGAGGCCACTGCGGGGCCGAAGCAGCTTGACTATAATGCTTGTGGTCCTTGGAGCAGGTTGCCTGTAAAGGGCGCAACAAAGCAGTTGAGGCCCACCAGAAAGCGCGGCGATCCTGGGCCCCTCCATGCATGCATTGGTCAAATGTAGTCCATTCACCGTCTGCAGCTTGGAAGAAGTGTTGGCAAGACGGCATGTGCCAGAAGCGCGACGTAGCAGGGTGCAGAATCGCAAAAGGAACTCCCACTGCCCTGCAATGCGAGCAAAGCTGAAAGACAGCATCCACCAGCAACTCGGCGAAACTCCATGAACCAGTCTTTGACGTGAAGAAGGTACTCAAGCACGGGACAGTGAACTGCACCAATGACGTAGCACCTGCGTGCTCGGAAATCACCTCCAGGAGCACCGCAAGCTCATCGGCCTGCGTTATGTCGAGAGGTTGAATTGGGAATTGGGCACGCTGAGGCTTAAGGTCGAAGGCTAGGGCTCTAAAGCCGGCTTTGTGCGCGGCTTTGCAAAAGGCGGCATCGCCAGCGAATACATCCATAATGACTCCAGAGACAGTATCAGAAGCAGCTGTGGTCGTATGGCTGAGTGCAGGAACCGAGGCAGTTGCATCGGTAACACCTGGGAGCGCAAAACCCAGGGACCTCAAACAGCTCTCATCTGAAACTGGAATTTTGGAGATTCCATACACACTGAAAGCCACAAGTACAAGACGGGGACCGTTGGTCCAGTCTAAAGTTTCGTGCTCTACCGTCGCATCAAACGTGACGGGCCCTGCTGAGACCAGCAAGTCCTCAGGACCACTAGGGTGATGCAGCCTCACTGCACCACCGCAGAATGGGCGAAGAGGTGCAACGCCATTCAAGGACCCAGGAAGATTCCTGAGGTCACGGTGCCTGCGAGTTTTTACATCTTTGAAAAGGCCGACACTTGTGAAATGAAAATTCGAGAATACACTGGCGGCGAGAGTGGCAAGGAGACGCGAGGCCAGAGGGTAAGCTCGCGCATTATGCCTGACACCTACAGTGCCACAGTGGTAGTATGCTCCCGTCGTGAAGGCACGTCCTGACGGGGCGGCTCCATCACTTCGAGTTGGAGTCTCGCTTGGTAGCATGTTCGAGAGTTCAAGCAGTTGCTCAGATGAGCAGTTGCCATGCTCAAGAATTTTTGAAGCAAGTGACTCACAAGGGTCACCTGGAACACTGGATGTGCTCCCCATGAACGCAGCGAAGCTGAAATTGAACGCGGAACATGCCGCGTTGACATCGGCTTCAGGAGGAAAAAGCACAGAGTCACGTTCGGAATCATCGTGAACATTTATGAAAGGTTTGGTGACACTTTCGGCCTCATCTTGACCGACAGGCCTGGGGTGCTGCCCTGACACACGGAATTCACATGCAGGATTAGGGCTGCGAGATCGCAGCCTGGGCCCCTCAGAAGAGGGTGCAACACTGATAGGAGCTAGTCACTCCTTAGGGGAAGACGAATCACTCTTGTCGCCCTTTCCCTTGCCTTTCTTGCCTTTGCCTTTGCCTGCTTGGGCAAACCAGCAAGCAGAATGCCCATGGCCTAAGCCCCTGCACGTCATGCAACCGTGAACACCACGGCTGCAAGCAGGCGGACTGCCCTTGCACTCGGCATTGCACTTACCGAGATTGAACTGCCAACAGAACCGGTTGCCTGAAGAATCAGCATGGTACGGGCATGACTTCAACTCCTCAGGCAGATTTGCAGTTTTGATAGGGGCCTTGAGCTTAGCATCTCTCTTCTTTTGGCGTTTGCTGGGCCTCAGATCAGGAAAGGATGATCCGACCTCACCTGCGAGACTCGGCGAAGCGACTCCCTGAGAGGCTGATCCACGCTGAAGTGGCTGGAGATAGGTGGTGATCCGAGGGTCATGACGGAACCGATTCATAAGAACATCCATCTCCATCACACCACTGCTGTCAGGTTTGACACGCTTGACCTCACGGGCTAAAAGCAAGAAGATTTCGGAATCTGCTCGCAAAATTTGCTGCATCGAAATGGGTGCGTACCCCGGAGGAACATCCGATGACAAACATCTAAGCAGAGACGCGACCCACTTCTCGTGAGTCTCCCACTCCATGAAGCCGCACATGAAGAAAGCCAAGCCTCGGCGCTGGAGACACCATTGGACCTCCAAGGGAGTCCCATGCTCAGCGACGATTTTATCTGGAGCCGGGGCCAAGGTGACTGATTGCTCCTGAACAGTCAAGTACTTTTGCTTGTCGCGAAGCCCTAGCTTGAGTTCGGCATCCCTCTTAGTGCACTTCGACGGTGGGATCCAAACCACCGCATTCGACTCGCCCATGTGGGAAACTGCATCAATGAGGGCATGACTCGGCTCCATCTCATCCTCGATGACAAGGCCTTTCAAACGCCTCTTGGCATCCGCAAGTCGGGCGGATTTCTCTGCCGGAAGTCTTTTTCCAGCATCTGTTGAATCCCCTTCTACGAGTGCGCGCAACTGGGCAATGACCAAAGTCGAGGATTCGAAATGAAGTCTTTTGAGCTGGCTCACGCGGCCTATGGACGCTGGGCTCCCGACAACGGAATCAGCAAAAGCCTTAAATTCTGCTTCCGTGGGTTGGGCCTTCGGAGTTCCACAACTGAAGGCCAAGGCTGAGTGAGTTTGCACCCCCGAGGCTTGCAGCAATGTGTGAAGAGAATCGTCGCCACATATCTCCTTACACCTAGCTGCAAAAGCAGCCTCGCTGTCAACGAGGGTCATGGCAACTCACAGCACTATGGGCCTGTCCGTCCTAATGAATTGAGACAAAGCTGCTGCACCCAACTCTCAGCGTGTGATCCATCAAGCAAACTCACATGTTGAGAGAGAAGGATCAAGAACAGAGAGAGAGGGAGAAGAGAGAGAGGGAAGAAGCGAGCAGAAGGGACGAGTTGCGGCACATCGAGGGGCAGCTGCCTGTCCTGATGATTTTGGCTCACGACTCGACATGAAACCCTCTACCATGACGCGCACACACTCTCTCTTTCCACTCCCTCAGCAAAACTCAGTCGCGCCCAGGGTTAGCTAGGGATCTCTTGCACTGCTTGCACACTGGGGTATCGTACCTCAGCCGGCCAGGCTCGATGAAGGGGCTGTCGCCAGTTTGCAACGGTCTTCCGCACAGCGTGAAGCTGCGGTGCCCGGTCAACAACAAATGCAGAGTTTTGAGCTTGCGATGCTGCATGAAGAAGGTACCTTCAGGAGGCGAAGGCGGGGGCATCAGCCTGGGCCCCGGATTTTCTTCCTCAGAAGAATCAGACGACTCGGATGAGGAGCCTTCCGACGACGTGTCTCCGTCAGAGGAGACACCGTCATCGGGATTGACTTCGGAGATGTCTTCCGGAACTATCTCAAAAGATCCCTGCGGCGCTCGATCAGGCATGAGGCTCAGGTCGCCAACACCCTCAGAAAAATCGGGACTCGGAGGTTCTGTTCCGTCCGATTTGACACTCATGACTTCACCTCCCGCATGGGAAATGCACGCCTCCGACTTCACGGCCTTCGGTGCATGTGACGGTGCCCCCAAGGAGACAAGATCCCACTGAGAGAAGCTTTCAAGACCCCTAGCGCTGCTGTCGCCATTGCTCCTGCCAAGATGGACTTCATCTAGCGGCTGAGGCTCAGTGGGAGCAGCATGGGCGACACCTGTGGGCAGCTCGGCACCTATCAATTCCTCATTGGTGCGCCCAGGAAAACGAGCAGCCCTGCCAGCATCTGGTGCAAACTTTCCTAGCCTGATCTCAGACAGCATGCCCGCCAGAAGTCGCAATGGGCGTGCTAAGGCATCCCGCGCATATACATCAGCCATGTGAGCCCCATGGAAATGCCCGCCTAAGGCCAGCCGGTCAGTGTGAGCTAACCCTCTCTTAGCTGCAAAAGACAACAGAGTGGCTTTCAAGCTGTGGGAGGTGGTGCGCCGGCCTTCACGCCCAGGCAAAAGCTCTCGGAGCCACGCACCTGCTTCGTCAGATCCCAAAGCCCTGACCGTCGGGGCGCCAGATTTGTCGGGGGCGGGCATGCTTGGGTACCCTTTGTTGTACTCGACGCCTAAAGCCTTTCGAACCTCCATGAACACACAGAGCCAATCTTTGCCATCGAGGCCTCGGCCTACCGCGACTAGCTCAAGACACTTCGGAAGTTTTGAGGAGAAGTTCATTGTCTTATGCACATCGATGAAAGCTGAGCCGAACTCTGCAAAGCCCTGGTCGTTGCACTCCAGAGAGAGCGAGTCAACATGTTGGAAGTCGCTCCATCGACACCTGGCGTAGATGCAGTAGAGGGACACTCCACACATGAGACGATCCCAGAGATCATCCCCTTCGTAAAGTATTCGATGCATCTCAAGTATTTCTTCAACTGTGAAAGGGTCTGCCTTAGAGGCAAGAGTGGCTTGCTTGGCTGAGGACAGGCCCCAACACCTCTTGCTCTTGACACTGGCATGCAAAGTCGAAATGTCAAATGTAAAGTGCACGAAAGTGATCGCCTCCATGATGCCTCGCAAAGCTGACAAGGGTGCACCACCGGTTTTGCAATCTCTCAAAATCGAGTAAAGAGAAGGCTCCTGCATGGGCATTGTCAAGCCTTCGGAAGCTACAGACTTGCCCAACATCAACATGCTATTTGCACGCTTGAGACATGTACTGGGAGCTTTGCGGGCCAAATAATCTCCCAGGAGGTCATGACAGGCCTCAGGCGAGGCGGCTTCCTGAAGCTGACGGGTGACAGGGGAAGATTCACTGTCCCAGCTTGCAAAAACTCTACACCACTTGATAAGCGCTCTGCTCAAGTCGGCTTCTCGCTGATCTCTCCAGGAGATCACGGCACGATTTAACACAACTCGCTCGAAGGTGACTGTAACAGCTTTGCGAGCGCGTTTGGGCCCAGGCAGCTCATCCGCCTCTAAAGCCTCTTGCAGGAACTCCACCGGAGGGCTTAACCTATCAAACCTGGGAAAAGACAAGAGGTCGTCAGTCGTCACAACAGGCTTGAAGAAGTCGCTCCAAAATCCTTCATCCCAAGGAAACTTCGGAAGCTCATCACGAAGGCCAAGGTGCGACGAGCGCAAGAGGTTCCTATAACCTTGCGGGTTATGCTCGATGCCACTGAGTACCGCAGGAAGCACGGGCACCGATTCAGAACTCAAGCCAATACCACCTTCAAAGAAGGCATCAGCAAGCTCTGACTCTACTGCAAGCTCGGATGGCTCCCGATGTGAGCTGATGCACTCCCTGTCGCTTGAGAAATCAGGATTCGGGTTCCAGGGGACAAGATCATCTTGCAAAGTTTGCTCTGCGTCGACAGAACACACACTCGCGTCTGGGGCCTCTGACAGAAGCCTGAAGGCACTACCGGCAGTTTCTAAGTCCTCAAGAGAGCCAGGCTGATCCATGGCACCCGTCACAGGACGGGTTTTCCCTCCCCTAAGAACTACCCACCGGCACGCACTACGCCACCCCCCAGCACAAAGTTGATTCACTTCATGCCGAAGGAAATGGACTTCCCTCCCACCCTTCCCTTGAGAAGAAATGCGGATACGACAAGGTATTCGCAAGACTCAAAGGAAACAAAGTTGGAAAACTGGTGCACTCGGTTTTCAGAGAAAAACCGTTGATTGTTCAAAGGAAATAAAGATTTATCCCTACGCTCCGCTCCGGGACGAAAATCGTAACCATTCCGGCTTACCGGCCCCCGAGCCTTTGCCCTTAGGCGACTTGCCCTTAGCTTGCCAGGTGTTCTTGCCTTTCCCTGTCCAATCCTTTGGAGTTCCAACCGCCCTTACCTTTGCCATTCTTCCCCTTCCAGGGCGCAGCATCACCGTAAGGACCCGGGCGCCCGCCACGGCCATTAGCATTCTTGCCCTTACCATCCAAATCACCCATAGGCAAAAGAGCTACAATTAGGTCATAATCGTGAAGACTAGCCCCGATCGCGGAATCGAGCGGGAGAATGCCAGAAGCATCTGCTCGGATATCCTCACCTGCCTCCGACAACTTGGAAAAGGCAAGCTTGTCAGCCCGCAAGATCTGACGAAGAGACACCTTCCTGTAACCAGGCTGAGCAGGCTTGGTCAAATACCTGAACAAAGACGAAACATAAGCTTCATGTCTTTCCCAACTGATCAAGCGAGCAAATGCATAAGCCACTCCTCTGCGGCGCAAGGCATTAAGGACTTGCAAAGAGCCCTCAATATCGCGATCATCCATACCAGCAGCCTCCGTAACCTTCAGCTTACCGCCTTCCAAGGACAGACTGGTGGTCAAAGGCTTGACGTTCTGAACCTCATCCTCACGGCTATGACACTTCTCTGGACCGATGTACTTCAGGCACCGACTCTCCCACTGCTGAACGGCCATGTCGAGTAATGCATGACTCGGCTCAAGCTGTCCAGTGAGCGAAACTCCGGCGAGCTGAGTCCGGAGCTGATCCATGCGAGCATTCCGCTCGGCTACCCCCACCTTTTTAGGGGAAGCGTGTTCAGCCGGTTCTGCCAGATCCTTCAAAGAAGCCACTAGCATGGTCTGAGCTTCCAAGATCAGGCGCCTTAAAGACGCCTTCTCGCCCACTGTGATGCCTACCAACATGGCCTCGCTCCACGTGTCAAACTCAGTCTGAGATAGCACCTGTCCCGGTTGTCCGACACAGAAGGCCAGCTGGGCCAAAGTAGACACCCCTTTACCTTTCAAGGCATCCACTACTCGCTTGGCGAGCGAGATTTCATCTGCTCGCTGCACAAAGAAAGGCGCCGAATCTACGGAACTCGTCATGGCTAAGTACCTGGCAACCGAAAAAGCTATCGAAGACGCAGCTCTCACAATGCAAACCGAGCACTATAATAGGGCAACTGTTGGCTTTTCGAGCAGGCCAAGAAATCAAACTGCGCTCCGTGGAAAACACTTGGAACATTGCGGGTGCGCTTGCGCCCTAGCCATAGGAATGCGCCGATAATGATCGCCAAAAGCTCGGCCACACAAAAACATTGCCGACCCCAAAGTCGTGCGATGTAGGACCTGGCTAGTCGGATGAGCCCAGAAGGATTGTTCCTCCGGGGCTTCTTCATCAGAGTCTGAAACATCAGAAACCACAGCCAAAGCCTCATCTTGATCGTCCTCCACAGCCGCCTCCAGGACTTCCGAGTCCTGTGGAAAAGCAGCTGCCTGCAGGATAGATTCCCGAGTCCAACCTGATGCGAAATGACCCGAACGAGTCTGGTCCGGCAAGAACTTACCCGTCGCGACTGCATCCAGCACGACAACATACTCACGCAGTGCCGCGCTCTGCAACTCACGTCCATAAACTGCATCGCTGCCAGTCGCAGCGTCCGCGTGATGGCCTAGAACTCGCTTAGTTTCGCGAAGCATCCCAAATTTGCTACACCAAACAAGTGATGTAACCTTCAACGAGTGCGAACTCACGGCCTGCTCCGTCGATGGACGTGGCAGTAAATACCTCAGCCACCTGGTAATTTCGCTGCTAGACAGCGGGTCGGAGGACCACGATCCATCCGGCAGAGGCGCCGGCAAAAATGGAACATCCGCCTGATCATTCGGCAAACCGGCCTCAGCCCTAATGTCCAGGAGGAGCTGACCAAAAGGGGTTTTGGCAATACCCTGGCCAGGAATCACCAGAGGCAATATACGACGTCGCTGAGTGTCCAGCCTAGACGTCTTGTGCTCCAGCGTCCCTAACTCAATGAAACCTGAACTCCAGTCCTCGTTGTGCACATCTATCAAAATACTTTTGACACATCGGATGTCCGATGCTCTTGCCCTCGCATAGAGCATGGCAAGGAAATGCGCCGCCCCGCATCTATCAATGACAGAAATAGAGGGATCACAACAGATCGCATGCAGTTGGAGAACTTCGGACACCTTGAGGGGTGACGCCGGGCACCACGGGTTTTTACTCTGTAGCGCCTTCTTCACCACACCATGAATTCGAGGGCTGCTGAAGACCTCTAGTTGAACACGTAGTCCCAAGGTATAATAACTCCACTTGATAGCACGCAGACTACTGTCCAGTGTGGTGGCCGCGGTCTTAGGCATCTTGAGGACACAATGAATGAAAGACCACAAGACTTTTTCCGCAAAAGGCGGAGTCTGACTTGCTTTCAAAAGCCATTCGCAAAAAGTACGAACCGGACCCACATGTTTCAAGATGGTGTTCGGCGATTTCCCTGCCAAAACGGCCTGAACAGAATCCTGGCCGTCCTCCTCGTCATCTGCCATCAAAGTACACAGGTCGAAGAAACTCGAAAAGGCATGAAGTAATGTGAGGACCCGGCGGTACGCCTCATCACGACGATCCGCGGCCCTAGGCCCTCTTTTTGCCTTGACTGCACGAGTCCATGCCTGACAATGAGATCCACTCGTCACCGGATTCCCGGAATCTGAAGGTTGTGCCGCCGTCTGAGGAACAGACGACGCCGGGACCACTCCCTGATAAGGCAAGTTCAAGCCCTGAGGGAAAGCCGCCTTCAATGGATCGAAGATGCACAGCATAGCCGGCTGTTCCCAAGGCTGCCGAGGCAGCGACGACCGAGCATGAGTGATGCTTCGCATGAACACTTCATTCTCACTCGCTCTAGGGTCGTGGCCAGACATCACAAGGAACCCTGGCAGGAACTACGCCCCACCACAGCAGTCAAAACTTGAACCGACAGTACGTGAACAACAGGTTGCCAACAAAGAAACTACTTTCGCTGGGAATCTCCCCTCGCAGCACACACGAAGCATAGCAAAGACCACTCAGGTCGAGCCCCCCTGAGGCGGGACAAATGGCACAACTTTTCATGTCGCGATTCCCGACGGTCTGCCACTTCCTCGTGGTTCATAAGGATAGTATCCACCACCTCTGGTGTGAGCAATGCCAGCAAAAACCAAACTAGCAAGCTATAGATCTCCAAGAGATGACTCAGCACAACATCGGTAGTAGCTTACAATGACAACAATGCTCACATCTGCAGGGACAACGCCGCTTAGCACGGCCACCCTACTGCGATTCCTCTCATAATCGCGTGTTTTGGGGAGATCAAAAAGTGATCCCCCGACCTGACCGATCCAGCGTCCCGGCAACAGATCTGCATCATGTCATTCCCCCCCTCCACAGCGGGGGTGCTCCGTGGCAACTCGCACTCTACGAGGACAATCGCACCGCCCAGGGCTTTAGCCCGACTCGCGCATTTTGTCGCTGCACTTTCCAGTGCATCTCGCGACAAGGTGACCAATGAACCTCGTGCCGAAAAGCCGAAGCAGGGAGTTCCCTGATCGCGAAAATCGTTCACCGCGATCTCCCCTATCTCGGCCACGCCGACTAAAGAGGGGAAAGAGGTACCATGAGCCATGATAGCCGAATGGGCCGAGTTCGGATTGCGGATATAGCTTGGCCCGCGCAATTCGCAGGATAAGATCAAAATCCGTTGCCCAGGCACTCGAAAAATGTGAGCATCGGGTCCGACGACGCCCGCCACAGGATTGTCCCCCTCAAGGGGGCGGCCGTAAGCCCGAAAGGCAGCAAGGACCGTGACCACGCGGGAAATCACAGAGGTCGGTATCGGACCTTCAAGTCCTTCCAAAAACTCCTTGTAGCCATGCGTGTCAGGAAACTTCTCGGCGATGGTCTTCCAAGGCATCTTCCACCACCACTGCAATTTCCCCTGCTCTGCCAGTTCCCGAGCTGACAATGGGCGAGTGGGGTCTGCGCGCGCTTCATCCTGCGCCGACTTCCACAGGGCTGCGAGGTACGACTCTTCGTCGTCTGCCTCATCCTTATCAGCCTCTTTCGTCGGCCGCGGCCACTTCAGAAGGAGTGGCCTCTTGAATGTTGTGATGGTCTGGATCCGTCCAAGAGGACTGGTGGCCCGACCCTCGAGGCTCATTCGACCCCTGACTGGACCGATGCCACTGGTTCCATCGCTTGCTCCATTGGCCCTGCTGCTTCTGCTGGCCCCCTCCGCGCCAGGGCTGGCGATTCCAAGTAGACGCTGCTGAGGCACATGCACAGCAGGGGCAATCGGGGCAGGTGTCGAGGGAGGCGGCAAAGGTGGCTGCACCGGCGCCACTGGTACTTGCCTCCATTCATATCCCGGCGCTGCAGCCGGCAGCTGAGGCACCGGCGGGGGAAAAGGCGCAACAGCTCGCGCTCCCCTCGATCTTGATTCCCGGTCGCGTCTGCGATCGCGGTTTCTGCTCCTCGAGCGCTCAGAGCTACTCGATGGAGAGCGCCGACGGCGCCGACGCCTCTCACCACCGAAAGGGGGCATCATCGGCCCCATCGATCCCATTTGCCAAGGAAACATCCCTGCGTCACACACTCAGCACGTAGCTGAAACCGGGCTCCAGCCCTCCGAGACTCTGTCAAGCGCTTCGGCGCCTTGTCAAACACCCAGCACCAGGCTCCTGCCTTGCTTGCTTCTCTGATTCTTTTTTTTTTTTTGGGCCGATGTCAAACGGCAACCGAATAGCTCATGCAATGAATGCTTCGATTAATCGTCAGTACGCAACCTCTGGCGCACACACTCACCAAACACGCGCTCTGGCGCCAGTTTTCTTTCCAAGACCGAGTCTCTGTCCCAACGCTCAGCCGTGGAGACCTAAGCACCGCAGCAAAGAAGTGCAAAATCACTCAAACTAACACCTCGCTCCATCGACAAATCCCTTTCTGGCTCCACCGCACTGGAAGAGAAGGCTCCGATCACAGAATCCTAAGGATGAAAGGTACACTGATACCGGCAGCAAGGCCGGCAAAAATCGAAAAATCACTCCTCAACCCGGCGGTCTCCGATCCGCCCGAGCAGCACATTCGTGAAGATACGCAAAATGACAGCTGCATCTAAGCTGGGCTCTCACCAACATTTTAGCTGCTGCCCTAGGGTTGCCACGGCTGATCCTGGCATGGTGCATAACCGCCGCCGTGTGAGCCTCCACCGTGTATGTGCCTGCAGATTGCAGGTCAATGTCGCGGGAAACCTCAGCAGAAGTAGTAGCAGCAGCAAAAGACGGAGTGAGCTCCCCAGATGAAGAAGCTCCTGAAATCGTCGGCTTTCGCGAATCCGACTCTCGCGAAACATCAGCCTTGGCCTCGATGGCGGAGCTATCCGAGCCCGATGCGGGGCTCTTCTGTCTCGCCTTGCTATGCTTACGGGAAAACTTCTTTTTCCTCTTCGTCTTCTTCTTCTTAACCTTCTTCCCAGATTTAGGAGGAGGTTCCGGACTCAACGGCTCAAAAGCCGAGCTCCACGAAGACCAAGACCTGTCGTCCTCATCAGCCGGCCCTGTAACGACCGACATTGCAAACCAGTTTGAGAAGCAGACGGCTACACGAGTGCACGACAACACGGTGTAGAAAGCAATCCTCAACTCAGCACCACGTGTAATCAGCAAGTTCCTGCAGCAAAAACCTACACTCAACTCAAGCTTTTATGCGGTGCGAACGAATCTCACAGGTGACAATGTGCTGGCCACTAGCACTGGAGCTGAAAAACTCAGGTGCCTGCCATCCTGGACCAATTGAAAAGAGCTCAACTTAGGGAAGCTACCAACAAGCTCGAAAAGACGTTGTGATACTAAGTACTTCGCCTGATCGATAATATCTTTGCAACTCAGCTGAAGATCGAGCGTGATGGGCTTATAGCTGGTTAGGCGATCAGTAACGACCACCTGCATCCGGAAGATATATCTCGGAGGCGTATTCCAGGGCAAGTCTGCCTCGCCCGCCTTTCTCTTCCTCTGATCAAGAAACACGCCATGCAAAGGTTCACTACGGGAGCTGAGGTTCCAGCAATCCTCGAGGAACAGGCTCCGGATCAGAATTGCGGCCAGCCCGAAACTTCCAATGAAGAAAGCAAGAAACTAGCATCTGCTGAGACTCCAACCGCGACACGCGATCGAAAAGGCGGTCAGCAAGCATGAGCTGCATTCTATGCAGCCGACTGATCTGGATCTGTAACCCACGCATGTGGTGTAACACAAAGCTCTCAGTGGATGTAAACGAGTCCGAGGGCGTCGGCGCCTCTGCTTCTCCGCCGGTCACTTCAGGTGATTGCATACTCCTGAAACACAGGCCAGTACTTCGGTCACACACCGAAAAAGCAACAAAGCTCCAGCTAAGTAGGCAACCGCGAGATCACTCTGCAAGTTGAGCAGGATACTGTAAGCTCAAAGCTCAAGACACACTCAAGCAGAAGATTCACTTCAGCAAGACCTCCCAGCGAGAGACTGAGGCACAAGCATCCGGCCCGCAACCCTATTTCAAATAAAACTCTCGCCCGATTCAAGGGCTTCCTGCCCCTTCGAGAGGTCAAGCTGCAACGGACGAATGTGTTCTTCAACTTGTTTACAGCATGTATGAATGAGGGTTCATAAAAAAGGCAGTGTGAAGGAAAAGCCCTAAAACAACAAATCAAAATTGGACTCAGTTCTCTGAGCCATTTTGTCATGTTGTTTTTCTTCGAACGATAAAGCCATATCTTCTGCAAGTGTTCAAAGAATGTAACACGTCTACCGAGGGCACTGGAGCAGAATGATGCACGGAGGGAACGGCCTCCTCAGGCGGTGACACGGAAACTGCACTATCGGCAGAAAAGAGCTGTGGCGGCAGTGGCGGAAAGCTGCAATCCAAAACTTGCGAGCTCTGGGGAGCTTGCTGTTGCGATGGCGGAACAGAAGGGGGCAGTGGCGGGGGAGCAGGCAGCAACCTCTGTTGTTTGATTCCTGTAGCCTGGTGTTTGTTTCCTGTAGCCTGGATTTGGGTTGTTGTTGTTTTGACATGGAAGGTGCTTGGGGGGGCCGTTTGGGATGTTAGGGCTTTGTTGTGTCATGATTTATGCGACCCCTGGGGAGAGAGGGGGGGGGCAGGACGGCCGAAAAAAGGTGATCAGACTTTGAAAGCATCGAGGAATATTTGCATCCCAGATTTTTACAATTGCTTTTAAAAGATCATGCGAAAACTTCATACATCCCTAAACCTTCAGCGGTATTTTGTGTCCATTTCTCAGTGGCAGTAACATTTTGGACCCAGCAAAAAAATGCACTCCACTTCCATATGTGATGACATCATTAGTAGCGTAACTACATCACATGTGGCAGGGTGTGCATTTTTTGATAACAAGCATAATTAACATTCTTACACCCTAAGCCTTTAAACATACTTTACTTTACTTTAATAAGACTACCGAAACCCTGTTTTGGAAAGCTCACATCTGAAGCAACTCCCGAAACCTTACTGTGAACCCTAAACCCCTTCAACCTAAACCTCTTACCTCTATAGGAACTCCCTGAAATGAAACCTTACCTTACCCTTTAAACCCTAGTGATACCCCTTCAACTTGAACCTCTTACCTCTATAGGAACTCCCTGAAACCTTACCCTTTAAACCCTAAACCTCTTAATCCTAAACTTCTTACCTCTAAAGAAACTCGCTGAACCTTGCCCTTATAGGCCCTAAACCCCTTAACCCTTAATCTCTTTCACGAGCCTTACAGAACACGTAAATTCTTTGTCCCCCCTGTCAGATCATTCAGCAACGGGGGAGCTTTGTCATCCAGGCCTCAGGAGTCGTCATGCATGCATTTCAGTGTTGGTTTCATGTCATGCATGGCCGCTGCTCAAGTGGCACACATCATGGCCGCTGCTCAAGTGGCGCACGGCATATCACGACACAGCCACTGATCAAGTGGTGCACACATGGCCGCTGTTCAAGTGGCACATGACATGACATGCATGCCTGCCTCTGGATGTCTACTATTTTGATATTGTTATTGTTATTGCTGCGCTGGTCTTCCATATCAATCTAACTGCCATGGCTCGTCTGGCTATCATTATGGTCGCCCTCGTTGCATTAGCGCTAGTAATAGTCTGGTTGTCGTTATTTCTATATTTATGTTGTGCTAGTGTTAATGCTGCTGCTATTTTGACCCCTTGTTGTTGATGGCACTGCTGGTGTTGCTGCTGTTGCCATTGCTGTTGGTGTTCCTATGACAGCAACAGCACAACAGAAACGACG